GATGCCTAAAATAAGAACTGCTACTTTAACCCCCTAGTCGTGGCTCACTCATCTTCGCCCAGCTGCCTCCGGTGCCGAAATCCTACTTTGCTTGTGGCTCTCCATCTAAAAAACAAAAACACAAACAAAAAACAACCACCACCCGCTATCATCCCTCAGATAGCACCGTGCCATCTTCCCTGCCGCAGCGCTCAGTGACCCACCTTCTCACAGCCCTCCGCTCACCTCCTCCGTCACTCCTTGGTGCGCATCTCATCCATCTGCATGTCAAAACAGTTCATGCGAGTCACCCGATGCTTAACAAATCCGGAGGTGTCACTTCCGGCTAGGGATACTAGCAGCATCCAACTACAGCCTGTTGTTAAAAGAAAACCACGCGCCTCCCCGCAGAGAGTACGCTCCCACACCTACGAGCCTTAACACCTTTGAGATTCCATCTCATTTGCTGCTGGAACCGCTCCCACACCGCTCCAACAGTCTCCATAAAATGCCCTAGAAATGACCGGCCGCACAGCCTGTGGTGGCTACTTCGAGGTGAACGTACGTCTGTCGCCTAGGCGGTCTAAGCGTATCAACATTTAAACCGTTGACTTCTACTGCTGTTCTACTTACTCCTGACCCTACACCCCCCAGGCAGGGCAGCTCTGAGCCAAACAGGCACACGCATACGGTAATGCTAAACGCTACAAAAGGTTTGATTCCAAGATAAACCCTAAGCGATAAGGACTCTCAGACAAGATACCATGTCAGGCGAGAAGACCTAGAGGGCCACAACCGGGAGGCGAGGAGGCTATACGGCAGCCCCAGGAAGAGTCACCCGTTATGGCCCGTTATAAGAAGCTACCGTCAAAACCGAGACGGTGGATGAGAAGTAGGAGTCCGAATCCTAGGACGGAGGGATGCAGGGGAGACGTCGCAGTCCGTGAAAACGGATGCCTAAGGAGCAGAGCTGACTGCCAGCAGCCTGCGACGATGCTGCGCAAAAGACTCCCGACCGGAAACTTCCAAGACCTACCCACGCTTCAAGCTTATAACGCAAGAATAAAAAGCACCCGATCGGCAGCGTGCCGATGAAGATGGGCGTTCGATACCCTAGGGATGGCGCCTCAGGCACGAGCCGTGCTCCTCGAGCACAAAAGACACGCGAGGACATTTAGAGCCGAGGAAGGGCAAAGACACCGTAGACAGAAGAAACAAAACTACACGTTGACACACGCAGAGGCGGGAACTGCCCTGCCCGGGACACGCTAACATCGAGGGGAAAAGTAATCCGTTCCCTTTACCTGACCTTAGGGCCCCGCTCCCGTACAGCCTTCTCCCCCATGCTAACTTTCAAACACTTCCCTGCAATTCCCAACCTCGGCCCCTCCTCTCGGCCCCGTTCGCTCGACTTAGCTTTCACAGGGCCGGAGGTCCGATTCCATCCTCCACAAAAGCAGCACGGCAGCTAACTAGCACGTTCCTGCAGTTGACGCCTTCCTCTTCACCTGCAAGAAAACACCAACGGGAGAAAACACAACCGGCCGTTGCCATCGCGCTGCTCCGTGCCTACCTCTTCCACGACACCCGCCTATACTCAGAAGCGTCGCGGGGTTCCGCTCACCGGCTCTTTGCAGAGTCAGATGCTGCAGCCGTCGTCGCTGGCGTTACCTAAGATACCGAGAGACAAAGTTTCCCTTGCGCTTCTAACGAGTCACCCACGATCCTCCTTGCGACTACCCCGGCTCGCTTCAAACGCTCATCCGATCCCAAAGGCGACTCCCAAAGCACCTGCAAAAACAAGGCGAGCGCTCAACGGAGCGGTCCTACGATACTTCCGTATTAGACACCGACCTGGCTGACAACCGCCTCACCTTCTCAGACTGTCGGTCTGCGTGCGGCTCGGCCCCTCCGCGGCACCTGCAAAAAACTCAAGGAAAAGACACGTGCCGAGTTACCGCCTGAAACTGGGGTCTGCCCGCACGGATCCCCATCTCCCGCTCCCTTACCTCGGCCCTTCACCTGCCCTGCCGCTGCTGTTTCCAGTTGTCACGTCAAGGCTCGTGTGCCACCTGTAACACACTTACAACAAGGGAATGCTTCTACTTTCACCGACAATTGGATGCCTAAAATAAGAACTGCTACTTTAACCCCCCTAGTCGTGGCTCACCTCGCCCAAGCTGCCTCCGGTGCCGAAATCCTACTTTGCTTGTGGCTCTCCATCTAAAAAACAAAAACAACAAACAAAAAACACCACACACCGCTATCATCCCCTCAGATAGCACCGGTGCCATCTTCCCTGCCGCAGCGCTCAGTGACCCACCTTCTCACAGCCCTCCGCTCACCTCCTCCGTCACTCTTTGGTGCGCATCTCATCCATCTGCATGTCAAAACAGTCATGCGAGTCACCCGGATGCATAACAAATCCGGGGGTGTCACTTCCGGCTAGGGATACTAGCAGGCATCCAACTACAGCCTGTTGTTAAAAAGAAAACCACGCGCCTCCCCGCAGAGAGTACGCTCCCACACCTACGAGCCTTAACACCTTTGAGATTCCATCTCATTTGCTACTGCTGGACAGCCGCTCCCACACCGCTCCAACAGTCTCCATAAAACGCCCTAGAAATGACCGGCCGCACAGCCTGTGGTGGCTACTTCGAGGTGAACGTACGTCTGTCGCCTAGGCGGTCTAAGCGTATCAACATTTAAACCGTTGACTTCTACTGCTGTTCTACTTACTCCTGACCCTACACCCCCCAGGCAGGGCAGCTCTGAGCCAAACAGGCACACGCATACGGTAATGCTAAACGCTACAAAAGGTTTGATTCCAAGATAAACCCTAAGCGATAAGGACTCTCAGACAAGATACCATGTCAGGCGAGAAGACCTAGAGGGCCACAACCGGGAGGCGAGGAGGCTATACGGCAGCCCCAGGAAGAGTCACCCGTTATGGCCCGTTATAAGAAGCTACCGTCAAAACCGAGACGGTGGATGAGAAGTAGGAGTCCGAATCCTAGGACGGAGGGATGCAGGGGAGACGTCGCAGTCCGTGAAAACGGATGCCTAAGGAGCAGAGCTGATGCCGCAGCCGGCGACGGATGCTGCGCAAAAGACTCCCGACCGGAAACTTCCAAGACCTACCCACGCTTTAAGCTGATAACGCAAGAATAAAAAAGCACCCGATCGGCAGCGTGCCGATGAAGATGGGCGTTCGATACCTTAGGGATGTCCCCTGAGACGCGTGCCGTGCTCCTCGAGCCCAAAGAGAAGTGAGGACATTTAGAGCCGAGGAAGGGCAAAGACACGGCAGACAGAAGAAACAAACTACACGATGACACACGCAGAGGCGGGAACTGCCCTGCCCGGGACACGCTAACATCGAGGGGAAAAGTAATCCGTTCCCTTTACCTGACCGGAGGGCCCCGCTCCCGTACAGCCTTCTCCCCCGTGCTAACTTTCAAACCCTTCCCTGCAATTCCCAACCTCGGCCCCTCCTCTCGGCCCCGTTCGCTCGACTCAGCTTTCAGAGGGCCGGAGGTCCGATTCCATCCTCGACAAAAGCAGCGCGGCAACTAACTAGCACGTTCCTGCAGTTGACGCCTTCCTCTTCACCTGCAAGAAAAAAAACAAACGGGAGAAAACACAACCGGCTGTTCCCGGGGAGGCCACACCAAAAAATTTCTGCCTGCCTGTTTTGCCAATTGACGCGGTTAACACAAAGGACACATCACCAAGCTAAAGAAATAGGCTTATTTTACTTTGCTTTAAAGCAGCAGAAAGAATAAGCGAGGTAACGCAGCTAGTCATTACCACATAAAGCTAGCTCTAGGGATTAAGAAAGACACATCACCAATTGCCTTCGTACTTTACCATCATCCAGACCCGTGCATCAGCTGGGGAGCCCCGTCGCAGCGAAGGATCGGAGAGCCTTTCCCGGCAATTGGGAAGTCCCACGCAGTGCGTCCACTCGTAGGTAAGGTCTCCGTCTTTGCTGCGAGAGGGTCCGGCTTTTATACAGTTTAACGAGCAAGTCTATACAAAATGCACAGGAGATATCTGGGAGGTTGATACGCCTCACTCGGGCACGTCCAGATCTGGCCAGGATCCGGGCATGTCTGAGGAGTTACTCTTTTTCTGTACATTTGGGATTTATAGTTACTTCCTGTCGTTTACTGATTGTTCCCAGGGATCCTTCCCAGGGGTGCATTTTCACGCTGATAAGACGCTGGTTGCTGGTCGGGGGATTCACTCACAAGTCAACCTTGGTTTGAGGCCCATTGTTCGGCCCTTTTTTGTTTCACTGCCTTAAAAACACCAGCCTGAGACAGACCTGCGCCCAAACATAGGCGACAACAGTCGCCTCGCACACCGGACGGGACCGGGGAGTAAAAACCCAGCCAGGGGACAGGAAAAGAAAAAATTTTTTGTCCCCCAGCCGTTTTGGGTTTTTTGCATTTTTGGTTTTGTGTGGTTTGGTTTTTCCTTTGTTTTTGGGTTGGTTTTTTTTTTTTTAATTTCTATTTTGTCTGTCTACTGCCTCTAAACAAAGCTACACAACCTACAGCCCGTAAGGAAAAAACAAAACATCAACCATTCAGGCACTGCAACACACATTTTAAACACCACAGAGCCAGCTACCACTCAAACCACCACGTGCTCTCCCCTCGGCCACCCTACCACCAAAACCGCCACAAGCCATCACCCTCCGTGATCCTCAGAAACACCAGGTACGGGGGGCCTCAAAAAATCATCCTCCCTGAAAAAACTCCAGCCTGAGCCTGACCTGCACCCAAATCCCGATAACGATCCTTGCATCGCACACCGGCCGGGACCAGGGAAAAACTACCCAGCCAGGAGACGGGAAAAACAGAAGTTTATTCCCCTGACAGAGGTTTTCATTAAATCCAGTCTACGTAGTCAAATTGAGCCCCGCCTACATCCTGCAAGAAAAGAGACGACAAATACTCTTACACAGCTAGACACCTTCTAAACGTGCCGCTATTCCACCTACCGCCAAAACCAACCCCCACTCTCCACCGGCCCATCCTTCCGCCCAACCGTCACGACGGGCAGTCACCCCCCGAATACTGTTCCTGGGGGACTCGAGCGCCGAGCCTGAGGAAATCCCGGCCCAAACCTGACCTTCACCCAGACGCCGACTGTGACCGTCACCCTCAGAGAGCATCTGCGACCGGGTGAAAATAAACCCCACCGGGGAGACAAAGATGTCGCCCGGTTGGAGGATTTGTTTTCTTATTTAAAACAAACCCATACAGTATACCCGTGAACTCTATTCCACCTAGCCCTGACTCCACACCCCCGGGCAGAGCAGCTCCGAGCCACACAGACACACACAAAGTACTACAAATGACGCGATTCAAAGAGGACTAAACGCTAAGCGATAAGGACACCCGGAAGGGTATGCCAGTAAGGCGAGAAGACTCGGAGGGCCACGATGGTGACGCGAGGAGGCTATACGGCAGCCTACAAGAAGCACTAAGTGGAACGGCCCCTTACGAGAAGCTACCTTCAAAACGGAGACGATGGGTACGCAAGAAGACGGGCTTCAAGACCTAAGAATGTCAGGATACGGGAAAGAAGTCACCGGCAGGAACAACGGATGCCTAAATAGCAGAGCTGACGCCAGAGCCTGCGACGACGCTGCGTCAAAGACTCCCGACCGGAAACTTCCAAGACCTACCCACGCTTCAAGCTTATAACGCAAGAATAAAAAGCACCCGATCGGCAGCGTGCCGATGAAGATGGGCGTTCGATACCCTAGGGATGGCGCCTCAGGCACGAGCCGTGCTCCTCGAGCACAAAAGACACGCGAGGACATTTAGAGCCGAGGAAGGGCAAAGACACCGTAGACAGAAGAAACAAAACTACACGTTGACACACGCAGAGGCGGGAACTGCCCTGCCCGGGACACGCTAACATCGAGGGGAAAAGTAATCCGTTCCCTTTACCTGACCTTAGGGCCCCGCTCCCGTACAGCCTTCTCCCCCATGCTAACTTTCAAACACTTCCCTGCAATTCCCAACCTCGGCCCCTCCTCTCGGCCCCGTTCGCTCGACTTAGCTTTCACAGGGCCGGAGGTCCGATTCCATCCTCCACAAAAGCAGCACGGCAGCTAACTAGCACGTTCCTGCAGTTGACGCCTTCCTCTTCACCTGCAAGAAAACACCAACGGGAGAAAACACAACCGGCCGTTGCCATCGCGCTGCTCCGTGCCTACCTCTTCCACGACACCCGCCTATACTCAGAAGCGTCGCGGGGTTCCGCTCACCGGCTCTTTGCAGAGTCAGATGCTGCAGCCGTCGTCGCTGGCGTTACCTAAGATACCGAGAGACAAAGTTTCCCTTGCGCTTCTAACGAGTCACCCACGATCCTCCTTGCGACTACCCCGGCTCGCTTCAAACGCTCATCCGATCCCAAAGGCGACTCCCAAAGCACCTGCAAAAACAAGGCGAGCGCTCAACGGAGCGGTCCTACGATACTTCCGTATTAGACACCGACCTGGCTGACAACCGCCTCACCTTCTCAGACTGTCGGTCTGCGTGCGGCTCGGCCCCTCCGCGGCACCTGCAAAAAACTCAAGGAAAAGACACGTGCCGAGTTACCGCCTGAAACTGGGGTCTGCCCGCACGGATCCCCATCTCCCGCTCCCTTACCTCGGCCCTTCACCTGCCCTGCCGCTGCTGTTTCCAGTTGTCACGTCAAGGCTCGTGTGCCACCTGTAACACACTTACAACAAGGGAATGCTTCTACTTTCACCTACAATTGGATGCCTAAAATAAGAACTGCTACTTTAACCCCCCTAGTCGTGGCTCACCTCGCCCAAGCTGCCTCCGGTGCCGAAATCCTACTTTGCTTGTGGCTCTCCATCTAAAAAACAAAAACAACAAACAAAAAACACCACACACCGCTATCATCCCCTCAGATAGCACCGGTGCCATCTTCCCTGCCGCAGCGCTCAGTGACCCACCTTCTCACAGCCCTCCGCTCACCTCCTCCGTCACTCTTTGGTGCGCATCTCATCCATCTGCATGTCAAAACAGTCATGCGAGTCACCCGGATGCATAACAAATCCGGGGGTGTCACTTCCGGCTAGGGATACTAGCAGGCATCCAACTACAGCCTGTTGTTAAAAAGAAAACCACGCGCCTCCCCGCAGAGAGTACGCTCCCACACCTACGAGCCTTAACACCTTTGAGATTCCATCTCATTTGCTACTGCTGGACAGCCGCTCCCACACCGCTCCAACAGTCTCCATAAAACGCCCTAGAAATGACCGGCCGCACAGCCTGTGGTGGCTACTTCGAGGTGAACGTACGTCTGTCGCCTAGGCGGTCTAAGCGTATCAACATTTAAACCGTTGACTTCTACTGCTGTTCTACTTACTCCTGACCCTACACCCCCCAGGCAGGGCAGCTCTGAGCCAAACAGGCACACGCATACGGTAATGCTAAACGCTACAAAAGGTTTGATTCCAAGATAAACCCTAAGCGATAAGGACTCTCAGACAAGATACCATGTCAGGCGAGAAGACCTAGAGGGCCACAACCGGGAGGCGAGGAGGCTATACGGCAGCCCCAGGAAGAGTCACCCGTTATGGCCCGTTATAAGAAGCTACCGTCAAAACCGAGACGGTGGATGAGAAGTAGGAGTCCGAATCCTAGGACGGAGGGATGCAGGGGAGACGTCGCAGTCCGTGAAAACGGATGCCTAAGGAGCAGAGCTGATGCCGCAGCCGGCGACGGATGCTGCGCAAAAGACTCCCGACCGGAAACTTCCAAGACCTACCCACGCTTTAAGCTGATAACGCAAGAATAAAAAAGCACCCGATCGGCAGCGTGCCGATGAAGATGGGCGTTCGATACCTTAGGGATGTCCCCTGAGACGCGTGCCGTGCTCCTCGAGCCCAAAGAGAAGTGAGGACATTTAGAGCCGAGGAAGGGCAAAGACACGGCAGACAGAAGAAACAAACTACACGATGACACACGCAGAGGCGGGAACTGCCCTGCCCGGGACACGCTAACATCGAGGGGAAAAGTAATCCGTTCCCTTTACCTGACCGGAGGGCCCCGCTCCCGTACAGCCTTCTCCCCCGTGCTAACTTTCAAACCCTTCCCTGCAATTCCCAACCTCGGCCCCTCCTCTCGGCCCCGTTCGCTCGACTCAGCTTTCAGAGGGCCGGAGGTCCGATTCCATCCTCGACAAAAGCAGCGCGGCAACTAACTAGCACGTTCCTGCAGTTGACGCCTTCCTCTTCACCTGCAAGAAAAAAAACAAACGGGAGAAAACACAACCGGCTGTTCCCGGGGAGGCCACACCAAAAAATTTCTGCCTGCCTGTTTTGCCAATTGACGCGGTTAACACAAAGGACACATCACCAAGCTAAAGAAATAGGCTTATTTTACTTTGCTTTAAAGCAGCAGAAAGAATAAGCGAGGTAACGCAGCTAGTCATTACCACATAAAGCTAGCTCTAGGGATTAAGAAAGACACATCACCAATTGCCTTCGTACTTTACCATCATCCAGACCCGTGCATCAGCTGGGGAGCCCCGTCGCAGCGAAGGATCGGAGAGCCTTTCCCGGCAATTGGGAAGTCCCACGCAGTGCGTCCACTCGTAGGTAAGGTCTCCGTCTTTGCTGCGAGAGGGTCCGGCTTTTATACAGTTTAACGAGCAAGTCTATACAAAATGCACAGGAGATATCTGGGAGGTTGATACGCCTCACTCGGGCACGTCCAGATCTGGCCAGGATCCGGGCATGTCTGAGGAGTTACTCTTTTTCTGTACATTTGGGATTTATAGTTACTTCCTGTCGTTTACTGATTGTTCCCAGGGATCCTTCCCAGGGGTGCATTTTCACGCTGATAAGACGCTGGTTGCTGGTCGGGGGATTCACTCACAAGTCAACCTTGGTTTGAGGCCCATTGTTCGGCCCTTTTTTGTTTCACTGCCTTAAAAACACCAGCCTGAGACAGACCTGCGCCCAAACATAGGCGACAACAGTCGCCTCGCACACCGGCCGGGACCGGGGAGTAAAAACCCAGCCAGGGGACAGGAAAAGAAAAAATTTTTTGTCCCCCAGCCGTTTTGGGTTTTTTGCATTTTTGGTTTTGTGTGGTTTGGTTTTTCCTTTGTTTTTGGGTTGGTTTTTTTTTTTTTAATTTCTATTTTGTCTGTCTACTGCCTCTAAACAAAGCTACACAACCTACAGCCCGTAAGGAAAAAACAAAACATCAACCATTCAGGCACTGCAACACACATTTTAAACACCACAGAGCCAGCTACCACTCAAACCACCACGTGCTCTCCCCTCGGCCACCCTACCACCAAAACCGCCACAAGCCATCACCCTCCGTGATCCTCAGAAACACCAGGTACGGGGGGCCTCAAAAAATCATCCTCCCTGAAAAAACTCCAGCCTGAGCCTGACCTGCACCCAAATCCCGATAACGATCCTTGCATCGCACACCGGCCGGGACCAGGGAAAAACTACCCAGCCAGGAGACGGGAAAAACAGAAGTTTATTCCCCTGACAGAGGTTTTCATTAAATCCAGTCTACGTAGTCAAATTGAGCCCCGCCTACATCCTGCAAGAAAAGAGACGACAAATACTCTTACACAGCTAGACACCTTCTAAACGTGCCGCTATTCCACCTACCGCCAAAACCAACCCCCACTCTCCACCGGCCCATCCTTCCGCCCAACCGTCACGACGGGCAGTCACCCCCCGAATACTGTTCCTGGGGGACTCGAGCGCCGAGCCTGAGGAAATCCCGGCCCAAACCTGACCTTCACCCAGACGCCGACTGTGACCGTCACCCTCAGAGAGCATCTGCGACCGGGTGAAAATAAACCCCACCGGGGAGACAAAGATGTCGCCCGGTTGGAGGATTTGTTTTCTTATTTAAAACAAACCCATACAGTATACCCGTGAACTCTATTCCACCTAGCCCTGACTCCACACCCCCGGGCAGAGCAGCTCCGAGCCACACAGACACACACAAAGTACTACAAATGACGCGATTCAAAGAGGACTAAACGCTAAGCGATAAGGACACCCGGAAGGGTATGCCAGTAAGGCGAGAAGACTCGGAGGGCCACGATGGTGACGCGAGGAGGCTATACGGCAGCCTACAAGAAGCACTAAGTGGAACGGCCCCTTACGAGAAGCTACCTTCAAAACGGAGACGATGGGTACGCAAGAAGACGGGCTTCAAGACCTAAGAATGTCAGGATACGGGAAAGAAGTCACCGGCAGGAACAACGGATGCCTAAATAGCAGAGCTGACGCCAGAGCCTGCGACGACGCTGCGTCAAAGACTCCCGACCGGAAACTTCCAAGACCTACCCACGCTTCAAGCTTATAACGCAAGAATAAAAAGCACCCGATCGGCAGCGTGCCGATGAAGATGGGCGTTCGATACCCTAGGGATGGCGCCTCAGGCACGAGCCGTGCTCCTCGAGCACAAAAGACACGCGAGGACATTTAGAGCCGAGGAAGGGCAAAGACACCGTAGACAGAAGAAACAAAACTACACGTTGACACACGCAGAGGCGGGAACTGCCCTGCCCGGGACACGCTAACATCGAGGGGAAAAGTAATCCGTTCCCTTTACCTGACCGTAGGGCCCCGCTCCTGTACAGCCTTCTCCCCCGTGCTAACTTTCAAACACTTCCCTGCAATTCCCAACCTCGGCCCCTCCTCTCGGCCCTGTTCCCTCGACTTAGCTTTCAGAGGGCCAGAGGTCCGATTCCATCCTCAACAAAAAACAGCACAGCAGCTAACTAGCACGTTCCTGCGGTGGCCAGATTCCTTTATCGCCTGCAAAAAAGCACTGAAGAGCTCAACTGCTGGTCAGTATCACGCTGCTCCCCGCTTACCTCTATCCGCAACACCCCCCCATCCTCAGAAGCATTGCGGTGTTCCGCTCACCTGCTCCTTTTGGATTCAGATGCCGCAGCCGTTGTAGCTTTCGTTACCTTACTTACCGAGAGACAAATTTACCGTTGTGCTTGTGAGAAGTCACCGACTCCGTGCTCGTCCTTGCTACTACCCCGGCTGCTTTCGGATGCTCAGATGATCCCAAAGGTGGCTCACTTGGCACCTGCAAAACCAAGGTAAATGCTTAACTGTAGTAGAATTTCTGACAGAGAATGGCCACGATATTTTGTTGCAAGGTTTGGACAATCCAGGCCTGAGATCAGACTGCTAACAACAGCTGTGTTATGAGAATGACCTTGAAGGGCTGTGTTGTGAGGAACTGTATCTGTTAATGAGGAATTTTCTCAGCTATGTATCTGGCTAAGCTAAGCACAAGTATGCAGCAAACCGCAAGATGCTTGCCGATCACAGTTTCCCTTTGGGTGCGTGATAAGTTGCTTATGACCAATAATCAAGGGGTATGGGGCGCGTGAACGGTGGGTGCTTGCTTTGCAAAGTATATAACAAAGAGATTCGGGCAATAAAGTGGGACGACATGTAGTCGCATCAGGGTGATTGTCGTTACTCGGGCCACTCTCCGTATTGGGACCCTCTTCACTTAACCGAGTGGCCATATAAGACTGCACTATTAGGCTCGGACCTGGCTGATGACCGCCTCACCTTCTCAGATTGCTCAGCGGCATGCTCCTTCACCCTTCTGAGGCTACGTGTGTCACCTGCAAAAAAACAAGTAGCAGCACTTGCCAAGATGCCCAGGCAGAGCAGCTCCGACACAAACAAACATGCACAGACCGACACGGCACACAGACAAGATGAGAGACATAAAATAAGCTCTTTAAGAGGAAAGACTCAGATCGGAGATGCTCTCAGACAAGAAGACCTACAGGGCCGTGAGGAAGAATGGGCGGCAGGCTGAGAAGAGTCAAGTGTTATGGCCTGAGAGAAAACCTTATAGCCTCCACAGGGGTAAGGCACGCACAAGTAACATTGCTTCAAGACCTAAGAACGTCAAGATGCTGGGAAGATCTCCCAGAAAAGATATTTGTGAAAATGGATCGCTGTACGTAAGAGATGCTAACGCAGCCCGGAACGACATTGCAAACGCAGCCTGACTAGAAACTTCTGAGACCTAGCCACACTTTAGGCTAGTACAGCAAAAACAAGAACTGCCTGGTTGGCACTGTGCCGATGAGGATGGGTGTTCCGGGCCCAAGGGAAGATGTCCGAGGCAACTGCTGTGCTCCTTGAGCTCAAAGAGCCACGACGACATCGAGACCCAAGAAAGGTCTAAAGACACACGAGACAGACAACACACACTACATGACAACAGACACAGGTCGGAACTGTGCTGCCTGGCATGTGCTAACCTCATGCTGAAAAGGAACCCCTTCCACCCCCGCTTCAGCTGCCCAAAGAGCACCGTTCCTGGACGGCCCTCTCCCGTAAATTAACTTTAAAACTTCTCCCTGCAATTCCCAACCTTGGGCTGCCCCCCAGAGCCTTCTCCCAAGCACCAGTCCCTCAACTTATCTTTTACAGTGCCGGGGGGCTGAATCCATCCTTGACAAAACAACGCCCTGGGTAACCAGGTTATTCCCACAGTTGCTAGGTTCCTCTTTGCCATCTGCATAGAAACAGAGTGAGCCATAAGGACATTATTGGTTGATGTGCACCTCATCTGCAACACCCTCCTCCTCCAGAAAAGCGACATAGCTTTCCTCTCACCCCATCTCAAAACTGTACAAAATCCTCTTCTCCTCAATTGCCGATGAAGGATCCGTGCTCATTCCTAAAATTAAAATTAAACAATATGCTTTATTAAACTATCATGCCCTCCCAAACAAAATTACTAATGTAAAGTAAAAAAAAAAAAAAAAACAAAAAAAACCAAAAAACAACAACAAAAAAAAAACCACCAAACTACATATAAACATTCTATCTCTTATATATGATGTTGAACCTCGACCGATCCAGAAAATCTTACCTCAAATGGCTCTCTTCCTCTAGAGATCAAAACACATCTGTCTCAAAAGTTTAATTGGCTCAAAAGCTGCTACTGACTGAAGGACTGAGAGAGCCCTCACACCTGAGAAACCCAGGAGTGGAATGAGCTCCCTGTCGAGCGGCTGGGGCTTATATACCCTGGGCCCCGCCCACCAGCCCGCCCACAATCCCCTGGGAAAGGGGCGGGGCCAACCCCTGGCAGGTATAAAGTCAGCCAGAGGAGCAGAGGGGAATTTTCTCCTCTGCCTAAAGTTTACAACATGCGTAGCGCTCTGTGGAGAAAGCGACTGACCGGAAATGACAATACCCACTCTTTTACTGGACCTGTTGTGTCGGCAATGCGACCCGGTAGGGACTTCTGCTTAATTTTTCCAGGGTATACATAGAAAAAGATCGGTATTTTATTAGGCTCTGTAACAAAAGAGTTGAATAAAGGCAATAGCGATACTCTTATCGACAATGATGTACTTTAGTTTCCAAGAAAACAACCAAAATGCTATAGGGTTACGCTTCCTTTCTACCGAGACTCCGCACGCTAGCTAGCTTTTACTGGAATTATGCTGTGGATGGAACTAAATGACAAAGTGGGGGTAGAGCCTACGAGAATCCCTCCTCTGGGAAGTCTGGAGGGGATCTGAATGGACTACGTGTGCTCGCTGAGCACCGGGAATAGAACAGACGCGTCCTAGCTACCGTAGAGGAAGACGTGAACTTTCTGCAGACAAACTACAGCGTTGGGAAAGGTCTTCTTGGCACGCGGAGGGCACAAAGCGCACTGCCGTTTTGCCAATCGATGGGGTTAACGCAAAGGGCGCAAAAGCTGAGTTAAAGGCTTATTTTGCTGGCTGTCTCGAGGTAATAAGCGATAAGTAAGAAACGAGGTGCTTAAAAAATAAGGCGATGTGTCCAGTCCTTACTATACCAGATGAGTCATAGTGATTAAGAAAGATACATCACCGATTGTCCTTGTGCTTTACCATCGCCTGGATCCATGCTTCAGCCGGGGAGCCCCGTCACGACGAAGGATCGGAGAGACTTTCCTGGCAACTGGTGAGTCCTACACGGTGCGTCTGCTTGTGGACGAGGTCTCCGTCTCTGCTGCGTGAGGGTTCCGGTTTTAGATGGGTTAACAAACAAATCTGTAAGCGTGTAGAACTGACAAAATGCACGCAAGACATCGGGTGGATTGAGTCGCCTCGTCGTCCTCCTTTGGGATTCTTTCCCAAGCCTGGCCAAGGCTCAAGGAGGAACCGAGGGAGTTTGCGTATTTGACCTCAATAATTGGCTCCTAAACTAGGAAATGTCGGTATATTTATGTATTGTTTTATCTAAGTTACTTATCTCGATAATGAGATGTTCTATCCAAGCTATGTATTTCACTAATGATTGGATACAGATATTATATAATGTTTGGTCATGAGATTGAGATTTGTCTAGAGGGTGACTTTGGCTCGAGACCTGTCGTTCAGGCCTCGGTACTTTGACAGCAGAGCCGATAAAGGGCGGCGGAGCAAGAGGACGGCCTCGGGAGGCACGCTGACATCGAGAGAAGAGCAAAACACAAAAGACGGCTCTCGCACGGGATGCTTAACTCGAGAAGGCATCCCCGCAACGTACGGAGGTTCTCGGGGGACGACCGACCAAACAGAAGCATCCGAAATGGCGGTGATTAAGTAAGACGGCTCTGGGGTGTGGACAAAGCCCGAGGAAGGGATCTGTCCGCGTAAGAGATGTACGCGGAGAGCCGTGGAGCTAAAACGGTCCTGTCAGATATGAGGATTGTCTCGAGAGATGTCGTGACGAGAATGAGAGGGCTCCGAGGAGCAGAGGGAACGTGGGCGTGGAGACAAACAAAGGACAAAAAATAATTTTAAAAAAACGCGAACGGAAGACAGGTAGCCAGGGTACATTAAAAGCGATGGTTAATAAAGAAATACTGAAATAAATAAGAAATATTGATGGCAAAATACAGGGGAGATGTAGAAATAAAATTTTAGGGGTCAGCAACGAGAAAAACTAAGGCAAAATAATTTAAACACAAATGCGGTGACCGAGATACAAGCCAATTGTAAAATCCCAGGGATGAAGAGATGAAAGAACTTAAAAATAGCGATAGCAAACTGAAACACCGCTGTTGCAAAATGGCCAAAGGAAAAAAATTGCTTAGAGTAACGTAAAAAATTAAGCGATCGGTCAAATGCCTATGACGTGTCATCTGTCACACAGAGATCCTTCGGCTAGGTGAGCGTGATAAACGCCTCCCCTTAAATGCGTATGTGGAGAGGCTCCGTGTCAAATTGAGAGACTCCTAATCAGAAGCCCTCGTCCTTCAACGTCAAGGCCCTCTGAAAAAGAACAAACTAGCTGAAGGCAGGCGGGATGTAAGAAAGCGCAGACGTAAACCAAAGAAAGGCCGATTCTAAAACCTAGACGAAGTTCGAGAAAGGATCCTCTCCAGAAACTGCTATAGACCGCCGAGGACCTCCGTGGAAGCCCCTCAGGGACCAAAATCGCACAGGTAATAGTTATATAACTACAATAATCAGTTAATGAATAGGCACATAACGGGATGATATGAGCTTTGGCTACGGTAATGTACGACAGGCGAGTTAGGCGGAACGATTCCCTCGCGTACCCAGCCAGATAAAGCAATCCCCATGCGTTAATGCTAAACCTGGCGTTAAGGAGGGTTAGTTGCCGATTTCAGTAGAGAATTTCGACGACCCGGGTGGGATGCTGCCTCGGAAACTTGACGAACCCACAGGATTGTGAAGACTCTGGCGTTGCCTAAGTGTTTTTCGGGGAGATCCTCCGAACCCCTGATCTGGTGAGTTTGGAGTAAGAGCCCTGGTGGGGTTTTTTTTTCGGTTGTTTTGGTTGGTTGGTTGGTTGGTTTGTGTTTTTTTTCAGGCATTACCAAAGGTAACACAGACTGGAAAAGCCTGTCCGTAAGACTGGACGCAAGAAATTCCCACAGGACTCTGCTATTAAGGGAAACCTGGGAAGAAAGGCGAGATTACACGTTATTATGGTGACGTGCCCGGAGTGTCACCTGGGGTCAGAAGAAAGCCTCGATCGCACATAAGGTGCAGGCTAGGGTATTGAGGCGCATTGGCCAATGTCCATGTCTAATTATTATCTTGTATAACAGCCTTGTTTAGTCTGTTAGGCGGTGTCATAGTTTTGTGTACGTAATTGTTTATTTTGTTTAATGTGGGTTCCGACCGGTCTAAGGGGTCTGAGAGCGGTCTTTTCAAAAAATTCACCTCTGGAATGTATATTAAAATATTGGAGGGACGTGGGAAGCGAACCCCTTATCTGGGAAACAATTCATTGACTATTGTAATCGTTGGTGGCCACTGTACGTTTTAGAAGCTCGAGAGAAGTGGCCAAAGAACGGACCTTGAAGTTTAACGCTATATACTATTGATGTAGTTTTGTTGGAGGGAAGGGAAACAGGGAGGATGTAGGTAGTCAGGGCCTGGCGGTCGGAAGATATCGCGCTGTACGGAAAGATAGGGCCCCTTTTTCTGATACCCCGATAGCCAATAGTAATGTAGCAGTGATGTAAGCAGACAGAAGTGATGTTGTAAACCCAAGCTATATAAGGCCTGTATATTCCTCAATAAAACACCATTTGCCATCCACCACATTGGTGTCTGTGAGCTGATGGCCCGAGCGGCCTGGGGTTGGTCGCCGTGCTGTTCCTGAACCAGGTCGCCATGCCTCTGAAAGGCAACAGGAGGAAGTGCCTTAGGTTGATTTGTCTTGTTGTCGCTAAATCATCCGGAATGGCAAAAGGATGATGTATGATTCCGAGCGACCCTACCGTTTTAACATAAGAGAAGGAATGGGGAAAGAAGTTAAAGATGTGCTGTTCACCGCATAGATGTCTGAGCCCCCTGCACACCAACCAGACCCCGTGCACCTTGCTGGCCTGCGATGCACACCAATGAGTTCCTCATAGCACAACCACACCTCCTAGACTTTGCCTGGTGACCCCGCACCCCACCAGACTCCGTGCTCACTACTTGGCCCCCCTGGACCATCTCTGGGCCCCCAGATGGCCAACTACACCCCCTGAACCTCACCGAGAGCCCCTACGCCTCGCCTGGACCCCGTGCACCTCAACCAGCCCCCCTGCAGCCCAACAAGATGCCCAGCACACCAAACTTACCCTCTATACACCTAGACCTCTGTAGTCCGCTTGGCCCTGGTGTGCTAACTCTGAGTGCCTCACACGCCAATCGTACCCCCTGACAGCAACCAGATGCCCTGCACCCTGTCAGTGTCATCTGAACCCCAGCCAGCTCCCCTGCATGATGCCTGGACCCGCTGAACCCTGTCTCAGCCCTCTGTACAACAATGAGATCCCCTGCACCCCAACCAGATCACCAGCAACTCTCCTAGCCCCCACGCACCTTGTTTGGACCCCCTGCAAAACAATCAGATGTCCTGCAGCCCAGCCAGATGACTTGCACATTCCCTGGACACCTGTGACACCAACAAGACCCCCTGCACATTGCCTGGGCCCTCGGCATTTCAACAAGATCAGCTATAACCTGGCTGGACCCTCTGCACACTCTCTGGGGCCCCTACACCCAAACCAGGCTCCTTGCACCTTGCTCGGACCCCCTGTATCCAGTCTTTGCAGCATGAATCCCAACCAGACCCACTGAATCCCAACAAGACCCCCTGCACCTTGCCTGGCTCCCCTGCAGACCAAGGAGACCTCATGCACACCAGCAAGACCCCCTGCAACCTGTCTAGACCATTTGCACGCTGTCTGGGCCCCATGAACCCCAATGGGACCTCCTTCACCCCAACAAGACCCCATGAAGCCTCTGTGGGACCCCTGAACTCAGCCAGACTCCCTGCACATTGCTCAGACCCCTGCACTCCAACCATATCCCCTGCAACCTGTCTGAAACCCCTCCACCCTAAGAAGACCCCCTGCACCTCGCCTGGACCTCCTGTAAACGCTCTGTGCCCCAGGAAACCCAAACAGACCCGCTGCACCACAACCAGACCCATTGAAACCTGCTCAGAACACCTGCACGTTGTCTCGACCCTCTGCACCCCAACCACACCCGCTGCAACTTGCCTGGCCCCCCTTCACACTGTCTGTACCCCATGAAGCCCAACTGGAACTCCTATACCCCAAGAATACCCGTCTGCACATGAACAAGACCCCTGAACCCCAACAATGCCCCCTGCACAGCAACCAGGACCCCTGCACGTTGTCTGAACCCCCACCACTGCAATGACACACCCTGCACACTGTCTGGGCCCTGTACATCGCAAACAGACCCCCTGCACCCTAAACAGAATCGCCTGGACCCCCTGAACCTTGACTGAACATCCTGCACCCCAACCAGAACCACGCAACGTGTCCGGGTCCCCTGCTTCCCAAAGAGGTCCCTGGAGCCCTGTCTGAACCCCCTATAAACCAACAGGACCCCCTGCACCCTGTCTGGTCCCTCTGAACCACAACCAGAATCCCTGCACCTTGCCTGAATGCCTTGCACCCCAAACAGACACCCTGAACCCCAACCGGTACCTCCTGACCACTCTCGGAACCCCCCCGCACAACAAGATACCCTGCACCCTGTCTGAGCCCCCTGCATCACAAACCAACCCTCTGCATCCCAACCACACCCCCTGCACAACAAACACAAGTCCCTGGGACTTGCCTGGATCGCCTGAGCACTGTCTGAACCTACTGCACCCCAACCAGAACCCCCTGCAATGAGTCTGAGTCCCCTGCTTCCCAAACCACTCCCTGCACAACAAACAGAACACCCTGAACACTGTCGGAAGCCCCTGCACCCCAGCGAGACCCCTGAACCCTGTCTGTGCCCTCTACATCCCAACCATACCCACTGCAACTCAAACAGAACACCCTGTAACTTGCCTGGAACCCCTGAACGCCGATCAGACCGCCTGCACCTTGCTTGGACCCCCCTGAACACTCTCTGAACCACCTGCATCCCAACAAGACTCCCTGCACCCTGCCTAGAACCCCCCTGCATCACAAACAGAAGCCCTTGCATAGTTCCTGAACACTCTGAACCCTGTCTGAACCCCCTGCATCCAAA